AATATAATATAATATAATATAATTCCTTTTTTTATTTACCGGAAGTCCCGCCCTCCTGCTTCCGGCCAGTTCACAACATTCAACATGTCTGCCGCCATAGCTTCCCTCGCTTCTTACGGTAGCGATTCCGATTCTGAAAATGAGTCTGAATCCAATACCAGTACCGAGAAAGTTGCCTCGGTGGATCCGGACGCTACGGCTCACCTTAAACCTTTACAGTCCGGACAATCAATGTCTTTGTCTGTTTTAAATTTGGCCCCGGAGGTCGCCGTGAAGGTAAGYTAAGGAAAACAAGCTAAGTGTCGTTAGCCGAAGTTATAGTTGTATTTTTCCACATTTATTCAAACAGGTTTAGGTTCGAGAAAAAATGCAAATAAGTTACACAGTGCCTAAAATTACATTTAGTTGGTTTGTGTTTTTTCCAATTTATCAAAAAAAATTTCGTGCGTCCGGTTCCTTGTTTTATAATTTTTTTTAGGAGTCTGTCGAAACTGGCRTACACTTGGACCCTTCACTAAAAGAAGTCACTTATAACCCAACATTTGAAACCATGTTTGCACCCGAGGTAAGAGAACTGCTCATATTGAAAACTGTACATGTATTATGTTAATTAACTTGACTGTATGTGACACTGATGTGTATATTTACACACATTCTTTTCAGTCTATTTGAGAAATGATGTCTGAAATATTGTATATCAGTCAGTGGTCCTGCTGTGTGAAGCTACGCCCCCGTTTTAGGGTTTATCCCATGCATTGGAGGTGATTTATTTATTGTTTGTTTCCTTTTAGTTTGGACCAATAAACCCTCATCAGACCCAGCAGATGTCTGCCCCCAGGAATATGCTGTCTGGCTATGCGGAACCTGCCCACGTCAATGACTTTATGTTTGAACAGCAAAGAAGGACATTCTCCTCATTTGGTAACATCCTTTGTATTCTATTTTTAAGTGTTAATGTTGCACTTTAAATAATATGGATTTTGCACTATTTGCCTCCCTGCACACAGGTTATGCTTTAGATCCTTCTGTTGACACACAACAGTTATCCTCCAGCAGCTACATTGGTGCCGTAGATGAGGCTGAAAAAAACAAAGGTATAAATTAGAAATGATTATTTTTATACATGTCGTAATCCGATTGTTTATTAACTAGAATATACTACTACTCATCAGTGATAGATATAACATGAACTGTTTATTCTTCCAGGGATGACAGTGTTTGAAACTGGTCAGAAGAAGTCAGAGAAACGGAAAAAGGTCAAAGGTGGMGATGCAGGAGAAATCGACAACTTCCTTGGACCGTGGGCAAAATATGTGGATGAGAAAGATGTGGCCAAACCTTCAGAGGTGATGTTTTGTTTCATATGTTAGTAAGACAATAAAAAACAACCATTCAATGTGAGATGAGGATCAGTCTTTGATGATAGGGCAGATATAGGCAGTCACTGTTAGACATCAGTTATGTATGGTGTAATTCCAATTAGGTTTGGGTGGTATGATAGCCTGGCCCTTGCCTTCCTACGCAGTTCCACTCAATTCTAGTTTCCCTTCACTGCTCAGTCTGGGATTTCTCCCATAGACGAGGATTTCTTCAGGAGAATTTTACCTGGGCCAATCATCAAACAGAAGGCGGAGTTTTGAACAACGTCAGTTTTCTTCACAGTGTCTGCTAATTTAGCAATGGAAGTGAATGAAGCCAGTCCGTGTTGATAAGGCTTCCAAATTGAATAAAATTGTCTGACAAAGCAGCAGCTCTCATTTACAGCCGTCTCGTTCGGCTCGGTACTTCTCTCCTCAGTAGGGTTGTTTACAGCACACGCAATTTTCGGTTAGCTTCTTAGCCTCCTTCACAGTGGAGCTGGCACACATACGTTGCGGCCAACCAAGCGAATTGTTTTAAACTTCAACAGAGGCCACGCCTTCAGCAAGAATCACTTCTCTAAAGCCGAGAGTCCAGACCCTCGTATGAAGCAAAGCGAAGAACAAGAGGCTGGTTTTAACCAGGCTATGGTATGATGGTGTTGTGATATACCTCGGTATTACAATATGATGACYGTATTTAAAAATTTTGACAGTATATTAACCTTCTGGAGCCTTGTCACATGAACAATTTAAATCACTTTAGCTGGAAAGATAAGTCCTCTCTGAGATTCTTTCAGTTTGTGTCAAAAGTAGAGACTCCAAACTATGCATCAGTTTTTAAATGGTGTTGGTTGGCCAAACAAAAGAAGAGATGATAAAATGTATACGCCACTTTTGTTTCTGAACATGGCCACCCTGTTTGATGCGCGTTGCACAGTCATCCAATAAGAGCCTTTCTGACTGAGGCCCAAAGTCATTTGAGAAAGGCCAAAAAATTTACAGGAAGAAGAATTAAAAAGATGCAAAAGTTGAAAGAAGTTTGGCAGCAATGTAGAGAAAGTAACGCAACATGCCTCATACCATACACCCCCCATGCCCAGCTGCTTTCTGACCAGCCCTGGTAATACCCTATTTCCAGTAATATCTAAAGGTAATATACTGTATCTGTATGAAAAACATCAATACCACCCACCCAACCCTAATTGCAATGCATTATCCAGCTAAATGCCTTTCAATGTACTGCAGGTAATTCACTTTCAAAAACGCAGTTTTCCTCCCTTCAGGTGTTACATGTGACTCTATAGAAGGAACCTGTAGTGCTCCACTGTTGCTTTACAAAATGTTTGCAGTAGCATRTATTCTGCCTTTTTTTTAACCAGTTTAGTGCATTTTTGTTAAGTCGATCAGACACTTGGTGCAGTATTTTTTGCTCATTCTTGGCTGTGTGATCCCACTCGCCCACACAACCTCCTCAGGCCTTCGTATTCAAGCATCCATTTGAGATTAAACTAATTTCAGTTTGCTCAGTTTGCCTTACTAATTAAATAAAATCAGATCATTGCTTGGTAATTTCCTCATTTTTTTTTTTTTTATCTGTACAGGAAGAGCAGAAAGAGCTGGATGAAATCACAGCCAAAAGGCAGAAGAAAGGAAAGAATGAGGAGGAGGCTCCAGGAGAGGAGAAGACCATTCTCCATGGTACTATAAGTGTCTTCTATTTTTAATGGCAATAACATGTAGTGGAATTTATAGAAC